AACCGATAACCAACACCAACAACAAACTTGGCTATTCCTGTTGCTTTTCAAACAGAGAAGAGAACCGATAACCAACACCAACAAGAAACTTAGTTGATACTAGCATTTTATTACTATTCTCCTGTACAGCAACGAAAATGAGTCAAACAACTAATGCATGTAGTAGTCAACCTCTTCGGGAGAAGAAATTGGGAGAAGCACCAACATCTAATGCCACAAAGAATGCTGCTATCAAGCTGTATAACAAATATCAAACTATTCGAAAAGAGCCTATAATGGATCAGACGACTGCTACTTACATTGCGGAGATAATTTACAGGCGCATCTTACCAAGTTCTGTTCTTGGCTTGCCAATATTAGCATTCCCGTGGCTTTGACAAAATTGAGTTTCATTCATGGTCACTCAAGAGCGTAGTAAATATCTGAAAGCATCAACCAAAGTTGAATATGCTGGTAAGGTTAAGGAAGTTTTGAGGGAAAATTTCCCAATCATCCTCATTGGAATGGTCACATCGGAGATGACAGCTCTTGGTGGTCCGTCATAAGAAAAGGGCTAGAAAAAGATGCTACAAGAACTCAAAATAATAATGAAGATGAAACGACAACACTGAGACCACTGTACCTTGAAAACTTACCTGGCTATCAACCATCCTCTTCTCTATTTGAAAAGCACCAGTAATAGAGGTATCGAGCACTTTCAAATAGCTCAGTAGCTTCATGTAGCTCCAGTACCTTCACTGGGAGCTCCACATAGCTCCAGTGCCTTCACTGGGAGACCTCGTTGCCTGTTCAAATAGCTCGCAAACACCCAAAAATAGGGCTCTTTTCCAAAACCAACTGCTTGCTTCAGCCAACTTGCCATAAAAGTTAGCTGGAGAACTGGGAAAGCTAACCATCACGGTGTTGGGTCAAAGCTGAAAGCTAGTGGAAAACTCCTGGAAAGCTAACCTGCAAAGAGAGCACTAACCTCCAACACGAACTATCCGAATTCTCCCAGCTCTCCTCCTTTTCTCCAGGCTCCCAGCTCTCCTCCTTTTCTCCAGGCTCCCCGCCAACTTTCCGGGCTGCGCCCAGAAAGTTGGGATTTTTTGATGCACCATGGTATGGCATACTGTACCATACCGGTATACCGGTATCATGGTAGCTGGTACCATACACCTGTACCATCCGCTGATGCAGCAGCAACAGCGCCCGTACAACCACAACATACTCTACCGGTAGTACAAGTTAGTTGAGAGATGAGGGGGGTCTTTAAAAAAAGTCGACGAACAGCGACGACCTGACGAGATCGGTTGACATCGTTGCCGATTGAATTAATAGAGCTTGGCGTTAAGCTTTACGGTACTGCATCATGACGACCCAGGAAAAGTTATTAGTGAGGATTACCGTAGTTCTTGCGGATGGCAAAGAGAGCAAATGGAAGGTTGCAAGCGAAGAAAGTTACAAGAAGTTGGTTGCGAAAATTGGCGGTGCATTGATCGACCACGAGGGGGTCGAAGTTCGGGGATTCTCAGCGCTCGAAGATGGGGCGTACACGCTGTCTCCAGCGATGGAACCTATAGTCACCCTGGAACTGTCTCTGAAGAAGAAAACAAAGTATTGTTCGTGGAAAAAGGAGGATCTCACAATGGAAAGTTTGGAGCTTCTTGTACGGGAATAGTTTGACATTCCACTCGCACGGCTATCGTTTGCTTTACCAGCTTTCAAGGGTGCAAACAACGACGAATTACTGGACAGCGATGAAAAGTTAAATTCAATCCCAGCCAACAAGACTACGAGGGTGACGGTCATCGTCACCAGAGTAGAATTCTCCTCTATTTCGACTGTCAAGGGAGGAGAATAATGAAGAGCTTCTCACGCAGTATCCACACTTAAGCGACTGCACAAAGTTGCACCGCTCCCGCGTTGTGAAGCCACTCGCCGACTCTATATCGACCCAATTCTCCTGGCAGCCGCTCGAGTTGCCGGCCCCGACGTACTACTCGAGGTAGAAAAGGAGTACGAAAACCGGGATGTTTGGGGCCCCATTGATTGTGTTTTTAAGTACAACGGAGAGACTATAATATGTATAACTGAAGGCAAGAAAGATCAGCTTGACAGAGGAGTCATTCAGAACATTGCTCAGTTAGCGGCAGTCGCCGATGACCGAATACGGAAGAGGAAGATATCGGAGATATCGTCGGAAGAGATGCCGATCTATGGAATTGCCACCACGTATTTAAACTGGCAGTTCCTGGTGCTGAAAGACGGCATGGTTTCTCAGAGTTCCATTTCTAGTATAAGAGACGCAAACAGGGATGATGTGGGGGACATCATTGGAAGGATTGTTTCGATTCTGGATTCCTGTAAAGGTTCTACGAAGTAATTCGTTGTACTTTTCCTACAAGTCCAGCGCATTTTGAGCACACGACGGACCTTTGGTATTTATAGTAGTTCGTTGTCGTGTTGATGGGGTGTCATGCCAATCAAGGAATCGCGCACGACATGATAATTGCCGCGATCGCTCCATCGCGACCACACATCACCACCACCTGTCTTGACCCACATGAACGGTACCGTATTGGTCCCCCGGGGTCCTCCGGGCACAATCAGCCACTGTCGATTCCCACAACAATTGGAAGCTGTGTTGGATTATCCTGCTGCCTTGATTGCCCTGCTTGACGCGTGGTAGATGGCAAACTTGGTGCTACATCTGTCTTTCTAATGAAAATGCAGTTTATAGTTTAGGCGAAGTAGATGTGGGAAACACCAACAGTGCAGTTTGGATTGATAGCACTTCGAATTCGGATGGCAACTTCATAATCCACACCATCAACACTGCCATCCATCGTCCTATCTTTGTCCAGGAGGAGCGGGTAAATCCTCAAGTCACTCACGATCTCCCTGCTGAAAGAATTCAAATCGGCCAAGGGGACCGAGGTAAGCTGGTCCCCAATGGCAAAGTCAAACATGAAATCTGATGGCAGATCAGCCCCAAATTCCAGGCGCGCCAAGATGATGCCATGCTTGACATCAGATACCCTCATTGTCAGCCAATTGTTCCTAGGCGTTCCAACAATAGTGCCTGGATAAAAATTGTGATTGGCCAACAAACACAAGTTGTTGGCATGACGATTGCATCTGGACTGGGCAGAGCCGTCGCAAAAGCCAGACGGAACATTCTGCACCGTCCATCCGGATCCTTCCGTGACAATCATTGTTTTTCCTGTCAGGGGGTCAATGGAAGGTGGTGGCGCCGTGGGAGGGGCAGTGGGTGGTTCAGTGGGTGGGTTTGTGGCCGGCTCAGGAGCAGGTGTTGCTACCTTCTCAGGAGGAGGCGGAGGCGGTGCTGGCTTTGGGTTGTTTGGGTGCTTTTTCAGCCGTCTCTCTTCGCGCTTTTCTTTCTTGCCTGCGCTCGACCGAGAGTTCTTTTCGCCGTTGGGGGCAAGCTTTCGGTTGAGGAAATCGTCTCCACCGTAAAATCCATCATCATCGTAGAACAAGCCGTCGTCATCTTCCTGCTCAGTACCATTCGAAGCAATTGCAATCATGTGCACATCAATTATACTAGTAGGCACCTGCCACGCCAATGGCACAAGATCTGGTCCGTCGTAAATATCGCCATCATCCGGTCCATCAATCAGGTTGTTCACAATGCCCAAAAGCCGGTGCGTTTTAGGGATGACACGGGGTGTCCATTCCGTTCTGGCATGCATTGGAATGTGGCATATCCGAGGGTCTAGATCTTTGAGCAACTGTTCGCACAGCGGAACTGTAGCTACCTCCCCAGGTGTTCGATCCAGCGACATGACAGTTTTTCGGATATCCTCGTACGTGTCTCCCACGTGCCAGAGTTTTGCGTCGAGAGGCAAGGGAGTTCTATCTTGTTTCAGTTGATCTTGCCACGTAGACAGCGCAGCAGAAAGGGCGTGCAAAAATAACAGTGTCATTTTGCGGCCTTCCAGTTGATGCTGGCGAAAACCAGCAAACTTTTGGTCTTTGTCGCCCACATCTTCATGTTGGTCGGGTGGGGTAAAGTCGTTCCTGAGTTCCCAACAAACCGAATCGTAGACATGGCATTTTCCACTCTCCCAGGCTTGCGTGTCACAGTGAACACCGTGGCAGGCAGGAGCGGTTGGTAGGACTTCCATGGTTGTCTTTTCACAAATTTCGTATCCAGGCTGAATGTTGCCTACCCATGCCTTACCCTTCGAGCCCTGAACGAGCTCCTCCCAAGAGGGGCTGAAAATGACAGGAACTCTTTCGCCCGACATGACGGTCTGTTTTTGAAGGAGGTCAAACTCTCCTGGCTTTTCTTCTTCGGTGTGACCTTGGACATGCCAGAGCACATCGGTTTCGCCGTAAATGTCAGCCCCTCCGAGAGCTCCCACAATCGGCGAGGCCGCCATGCCCATGTGTCTTGAAATCAGCGTCATCCCCAGCTTGTTGAAGACTGGTTCCATGATATAGTTGAATTGCATGATTTGTGTCTGAGCAAAGTTGTTTGCTCTGTATGTGTTATCCTTTCCAACCACAACGACGTAGAAGTGGTCAGTAGTGATCATGGCATGAAGCAGTTTTCGAACGAGTCCATCCCAAGATTGCTGGGGTAAAAATGCCACTCCTTTCAATTTTGTTTTCGTGTTCTTGTCGCGCGCCTCTCCTTCGATGAATTCATGGTCTCCAATGATGGGTGCAAAGGAATGTTTTTCCTCGTCATCTGGATTTGGATGGTTGTATTCCTGCATGATTCCTTCTTTGACAGCTTCGACCAGAGCCATTGCTTGATCGATGAATGAGACCATGTAATTTCTGTCCTTCTGCCAAGCCTCGTCAGGGAAATCACTGAGTGGTACATCTCTGTAATTGAATTCATCAAAGAAGGAGTCCTTGAGATTGTGAGCTTCTTCAAAATTGGGGTTATTCCAAACTCCAAATTCCTCAACGACCTTGATCATTTTGAAGGTGAAATTTCTTTGTCGTGCATCGAGTACATCTTGTTCCGCCATATAGAGTTCAGACGCGAATGGAGACAGATTTGGATCGTGAAGGTAGTGTGCCTGTTCGTTGCGTTTGTTTTCCCAGGAAAGATCCCATGTGGCTCTCATGGCAATGTCCACGGCTTCACCTAGGATTTCGTTTTCAATGTTTTCCTCTTGTTCTTCTGGAGTCAATGCTGGTGGCTTTGGCTTTTTTTTCTTGTTTGGGTTCAAGTTATGTGCCAAGTTATTCTTTCCTCCAAACGACATGGTGTGAGGGGAATATTCGGCTGGTTCCTCTTTTTCCATTTTCTCGCTTCTCAGAATACCACCTTCCCATTCCAGCACCATCAGCACAAAGAATGCCAGCAAGCCCAGCAAGAGAGCATTACGCAAATGATAGACAGCATGGGACATCAAGTCACCACGAAGAAGTCCTTGGATGACAGAATTGCCTGTAATGGCGTTGCTCAATCCATCTTCTTCCGAGCCATTGTCTCCTCCCCATCCTCGGCGACGCATTCCATGGGCATTACGGCCCATAAAGACTTCTTTCTCTTTGCTCTCAGTATTGATCCCCTGGCTTTCGTGGATCAATGACTGACGTTCCTCGTCTTCATCATCGGCTTCAATCTCCAAAGCCAAAATCTTGGGAGTGACGCCGTTGGAAGTCCCATTTTCGCCGTTCATGTGTTGTCGTTCCATCTTGCCTCTCACCTCTTCCTTCGATCCTCAAACCAAGCCAGAAAGCAATGCAACCTCCTACTAGCTACTTGTACCGCACCAGCTATCCGAGAGAGTTGCGTTGACTGGTTGCTTATTTGTGTTGATGAGTTGCGAAACAATGCCCGGTCTTGTGACCTCTCTCAAGGAAGCAAGCAAGATCTGGTCAAAAAAGATCGAGGAAATTTCAGAATTGGGTTCGAGTTAAACATTAGACTGGGCATCTCAGCTGGCTTCTACATCTGCAACGTCACCCTCCAAGTTCAAGGAGGAACAAATCTGAAATCTGCCAAGCACCCATCACTCACGCTGAAGGACACCAGGAAAGGACACCAGGAGTTGACACAACACAACTTCCACCCGTTGTATCAAGACCATCACAGAAGTAATAACATCATGATGAGGGTATCTGTCGTTGTTTTTGCGTTGGTTCTGGTCCATAGAACGACTGGATTTCTCTCCACATCTACCACCACAAGAACAACCCAATCCACCCAACGAGCCCTTGGTATCTCGTCCTTGCGGCAACCTACATCTTCTGTCAGTGGCAGTCGATCTAGCAGCAAGGCATTTGCACGGACATTGGTTCTACAGGCAGCATCCACTGCTGGCAGCTATGACGACACTTGCGATGTCTTGGTCTTGGGATCGGGTCCGGCTGGTCGGGCCATTGCATCTTTGTTATCGTCTCCCAAGGTGGGGATGGACGTTCTGCTGGCCGATACCAACTTTGACAAGGAATGGGTGCCCAACTATGGAGTATGGACCAATGAATGGGATGCCATCTTGGAAGCTTACAAATCATTTGGCGTTGAACTCAAGGGAGGACTTGTGGGAGGCAGTATCAAGCGTGAGTGGCCCGTCACAGATTGCTATTTTGGTGGATCCTTTGATATTCCCACGGAACAACGAATGAGGCTCGATAGACCCTACAAACAAGTCGACAAGAATGCATTGAGAGATTCCTTAACCACGGGAAAATTCCGAAGATTGGATGCCAAACACTTTTCTACCGCCATCAGCCCCAATATCTACTCACCGGCCGGATCTTTGGTCCATGACGAAGATGGTAGCACCATACAACTCGAGAAAAAAGACGGAACCGTCACTACCATTCGTTCCAAACTCATCGTTGACACCACGGGGCATGAAACCAAACTCGTACTGAGAGATACTCGAGATCCCTATAGTCAACCGGGCTTTCAGATTGCCTACGGCGCACTGGTGGAAGTGGACGAAACCAGCTCACCCGACAAGACACAAATTGGACCATATGACAAGGAGGCCATGACCTTGTTTGACTACCGAACGGATCATTTCAATTCCCAACCCGGGGTCGACAAGGCAACCGCCGCACCCACCTTTATGTATGCAATGCCAATCAAGGACAATCAAATCTTCTTTGAAGAAACATCATTGGTGGCTCGTCCTGGTGTGTCGCTGCAAGAATGCAAAGACAGATACAAAACCCGCCTCGAACATCATGGTATCAAGGTTACCAAGGTCCTCGAAGAAGAATTTTGTTACATTCCAATGGTACGTTAGTTAGGAGAACAACCTGTTGCCGCCAATGCTTGTGTCTCACCATCCATTGCATTGCAATCCACCAGGGAGGTGCCCTGCCCGTTCGTGATCAACGTGTGATGGGGCTTGGTGGCTCTGCTGCGATGGTCCATCCCAGTACTGGGTACCATTTGTGCCGATGCATGATGGGCGCCACCAAAATGGCAGATGCCATTCAAAAGGAAATGGCAAGCGGTAGCAAACCCAACTTGGACAAGGTAGCCGCATCCGCGTATCATTCACTGTGGACTCCGGAAAATATTCGACAGAGAAACTTTGCCGTCTTTGGAGGAGAGTTTCTCATGAAACAGGATGTCGTAGGGTTGCGTGGATTCTTTGATGGCTTTTTCAAGTTGCCACTGCCACTCTGGGGTGGTTTCCTTGCTGGTTGGCCCGGATTGCCTTTCAATGACAAACATGAATCTTGGTTTGCCAGGATGTGGTTTGGACTGAGTTTCATTGTACGACTGCCCCTCCCTGTAGCACTGGACATGGCGACATCCATTGCAGCCTACACAGTTACTGAGGGTGTCCCCTTGCCACAATCTGTCACTCCATTTTTGGGCGAGCCAAACTCCTACGAATACGACAGGAACACTGACAATGTTGGTGACGTCGCAGTGAAAGCCGAGGCTAGAAGAATGATTACAGAGTCCACAGTGACGGAAGACTTGCCTGTAGCATTCAATGATGATGGCAATGACAACGCCGATGCCATAGCTGTTCCAATCGTAGCACCGGAGTCAGCAAAAGAGAAAGTGGCAGCACTATGAAGAGATAGTAACACAATACTTCATGCTATCATTTATTTGTACTATACAGTAGCTTTGTGTTGACAGCGTCTGTGATATAAAGTTTTGATGAGCCGACAACGCCAATGGCTATGATGAGAGAACCCTTTGTGTTCCAACAAAGCGTCCTTGCGCTGGTGGTGGTACCAGTACCTGGGCAACCCGTGACCCTCGATCCAAAATTGTCGTGTGCAGGGGTAGAGAAGACCAGATTTGTTGTTTTTCGTTTCCAAATGACTGATCTATCCTTGTCTATTGATCTAAACATCCAGAAAGTCAGGGTTGGCTGTTGGTGTTGTGCTCTTTGGCTTTCTGTTTCGCTGCATCTTTCCGTTGGAGAAATTGCGCATTTCGTTTTCCACTTCTCGAATAAAGTTCAAGCTTCCTCCCGTAGGTGAGAACATCACAGTTAGCCTCGGACAGGCAAAGATGCCAAAGCAACATGATCGGTCAGGCTTTCCTGCCGATCGAGGCCAGAGCCAAAAGGGTGTGCTTGGCACTGTGGTGACAATGGCTACTCCATCAGTAGGATCCGACAAGAATCCTCTGTAGGGATAGGAAAATGCCATCATGCTGCTGCAAGGAGAGGTGGAAGCGACACGTCGAATGGAGACAATTTTGTCAAAGGGAACATCCACCTCAATGTTGCCAATCCAAAATCGCAGAGCTCCATCGTCGGTCACATCAACGGATCTCACTAGATTGTACCAAAACCAAGCCAGCACGAGTAGATTGGCGACTGATACAGCGACCACGGTGCCATGGGCCCCAATCGGCACTGCTGCAACCAATAGAAGGACAAATATTATCTCCAGAATGATGAATCGGAGCTTGAACCCTGGAAAAAAGGCAGGCAATCACAAAATTCAGAGGAATAGGTTGACATGCTCACGACAAACATCCAATGCTTTTCTTACCGAAGGAGAAGGACGACGATTGAAAGGAATGCAGCACACTTCCGTCATCTGTTACATAGGTGAGAGTTTGCGATATAAGCAACGGGTCTTCATCGAGCATCATCTCTTGCTGCTGCTTCTTTTGCTGTGCGTCCAATGCTGGAGGGACGGACGATACAACTGGGGCATCAACGGGCGTCGTGGTGTCGGCCATGGTGAAAACGGAAGTGCAGCACGAGCATTCGATGGGTTACGTTTGCTCCAACTTGGGAGCGAGGATGGCAAAGAATGAAAAGCCGAGGAGGCATGCCAATGATTAGTATCCGTTGGCAGATTGTTAACTGTAACCGTACTGTATGGCCAGACGGACGCACTCGAAAAATCAAGTGTGCTTCCATGTGAGTGACGAGTGACTCAGCCCTCAGTCAACAGTCAGCAGTCAGCAAACTTTCAAGTGGCACCACAATGGTAAATTAACCCAGCCACCAGCCACAGGAACAACAGCAGGACCACAACCCTGTCCAACTCCAGGCACAACACCAGGCTCCACTGGTGTCATTCAAGAATCTTCCCATGGGCCCAACCCTGGACCTACTCCAAGTCTCTCCCCTGGACTTATCCGAAACCCCACTCCTGGACCTACTCGAGCTAGGTCCAATACCCAGACTTATCACTGGTCCTTCAAAAGGCCGCGTGAATGTCTAGACCTAACCATGTTCCATCTCAATCACCAACACACGTACTTCAAGCCTCACTTATCCACTCTCTGCATCCTAGGGCGTCTAGCTAGAGTTGCATCTTGAGGACAAGCACACACACACTCCTGGGCACCTACACCAAGTCCTACCACAGAGCAGCTCCAAGTCCCTCTTCTGGAGCTGCTTTGCTTAGGTCCAACGCAAAGAATTATCACTGATCCATTACCAGGCCCAATGTCTGCCTAGCTTTAGAAGGATAGACCTAACATTCTTCCACCTACTAAGGACAACGCATAGCCCCACTCCTGGATCTACTCCAGGTACTGGTATCACCCAAGGATCCACTAAAGGCCCGTCAAGGATGCTAGGTCAACATAGGGGTTCATAGATTTCTCAGTGGCGCCAAATGTACTCTTTTTTAAAAAGTGAGCTGAGTTTTAAGTTAAGTTCATGAGGATCTGTCATCATGGACTTCCTTGGATATGACCATTCCTATTCCCAAGTGAAGGTATTAGCAACACGATATCGGTAAAAACGGCCTTTCTCCACCATTTTCATGGGCTATAGCCATGCCCTTCTGGGTGGCGAGTGACGGGGCTGCAGACATTGAAGCCGGAAAGGCGAGCTTTGCTTGGGTTCTGGCAGACAATCGCCGTCAGATTGATATTGTAGCCCATCCAGAACAATTTCCAGGAGGAAGGGGTCTGAACACATACTAGTACATGCAATAGAATGCTAGGAAAAGCCACCACCTTGAGCATCTTTTTGCAGGTTGGCGTTGTCTTGTTATCTCAGCTGGATTATTTGCAGCGTATCTTTTGGCTTGGCTCGTTCAACCAGGAGCTGGTAGTGAAGCTACTTGATTCGCCAGCACCACACAGTCCCCTTCTGCTCTTTCTTATCGGCGGTAGCAGCTGCTATATGTATCGTGCTATGCCTGTATCTCCACGTCGAGAATCTTCGAGTCTTTCTGCCAATCCAATTGCGTTCGAATGCGTACTCGCCAGTAATACTCGGACCCAACACTAAAAGATATCCAGTTCCTGTTGAGGAGGAAGACTTCGCGAGTCCGCAACAGCTTGGATCATTCCAACACTCTGCTTCTAAAATTCCGAAAGATATCAAGACAATGAAGATCTCTTGCTTTATCTCCCTTTTCCTGTTGGCGGTGTCCACAGAGGCCTTTGCGCCTAGCAAACCGGCATTCGGACGACCTGCCCTCCGAATGTCCGAAGATGCCGAAGTTGAAGCTGCTCCAGCCCCAGCTCCAGCTCCTGCACCTGCTCCAGCACCGGCCAAAGTTCCAGGCGGTGCGCTTGTTCCTATCAAGGAAGAAACTGTTGAATTCACTGCCGGTATCCTAGGAGCAGTTGCTGGTTTTGCCATTGGTGGACCAGTTCTTGCTGCCATTGGTGCCGCCGCTGCCAACTATGCCTCCAAGTCTGAAAGCGAAGTTAGTGATGTTATCTCTGCTGTATCCAAGAGCTCCATCCAAGTGTACAACTACCTGGCGACTCTTGACGAGAAGTACGAAGTTCTCGACAAGGCCAAGGGATCTCTGGACACTGCTTTGTCCAAGCTCAAGTCACAGGATAATGTTGACCCTGCTACCCTTGAAAAGGTCGAGAAAGCCTTGGCAACCACCAAGAGCAAGATCGCTGAAGTCAATGACGAATACGACCTTGTTGGAGGAGGTATGACTGCTCTTGGAGTTGTTGGAGACCTTGTCGAAAAGGCAGTCAAGAAGGCCGGAGAACTGAACGAAGAGTACAAGCTCACAGACAAGGCAAAAGACTCTCTTAAGACTGCTGTCGCAAAGGCCAAGGACGCCGCTGACAAGGCTTAAACAACTCCTCATGGTACGATGGAGTGAGAGAACTGGTTAATGCACTGTACTATGGGTCAAAATGATTGCCAATCTCGCACTTCTTTTTTTGAGAAAGGAGAGGTAAGTTGTCAATAAGAAATGCTACAGAATAATATCCTTAGATCCTTCTAGATGGATAGCTTCCTCTTGAGAGTTCTGCTGTCTAAAACTGATTCTCCTAGCTTACTTAGTTATACAGTACATGAATGCAGCCACGCTGTATCCCTTGGTGTGAAGAGCGCATCTTTGTGCAAAGAGTGGTTGTTGGAGCCAATGATTTACTAATCTTGACTCCAGTAGCCACTGACCGTTGGCTGGATCTGTGTTAGCCCTACCGGTAATAGCTCTACTCTTTCGTCTATCTGACTCCGTGCTGTGCTTCCTTTGCTTTTCTTCTGTACTAATAATGAAAGTTGGCCATGTGCTTGAGGCACCAAAGATTTCGTTGCATGATACGATGATGAGTTTGTTAGTTTTCTTGAGGCTTTCAGGATTTCTACTAGCCTATCTATATACGGGGGTTGTCTACCGTAGGGTTTCAGGCCCATCGGAGATGATGAACTCCAATGCCGCCGCACAGACCCAGCCACAATTGCTCCCTCCGATTGCAGATCTTGCCTCGAGCTGGCTGCTGGCTCGAAGTTGCTAATCAATCGGCCTTTGTGACGCAGAGGCATGGAAGCTTCATTCCTCCCTCATCCCTTTTGCATGAGTGACTGAGACACATGGGAAGACAGTCACGGCAACGTTTTTCTTTCAGGAGCTGCTACAGGTACAGTCATAGTAGGAAAGCCAACTGCTGCGAGACTACAAAGAAAGGAGGCAGAGAAAGCACACCAAGGTCGCCGTGATAGAAAAGGAGCAGAGACTTTGGCTGCATGCAGTAGCCCAGCGTACTGTACACCTGCAAGCTAGACTTCTGCTGGCTCCACCAGGGGAGTTGCAACCATTGCCGCACACTTGCTTGCAGCACAAAAGAGGAGGCTTACAAAGGATACTACGCAGGGGTCAAACCCTAGGCAGCCATCTTGGCGAGCAACAGATTCGATTGTATTGGATGATTCAATCTATTGAAGCTCTTGGCTTGCACCCAGCTGTTGACTTACCCGGCCCTACAGTTCCTGCCTCATCTTCTGCTCTAGAGTATCTACTGGTATTAATAGCTAGTAGTGGTACGATGGCTATCTAGCTAGACAATTAATAGCTGGCTTTTGGTCCGAGTCGACAGTCAACGCAGGACTAACATGAGCGGAGCACCTTAGCCAGGCAAACAACCGATGAGGCCGCATGCATTGGTCCAGATCTACAGGAGGATATCTCGCTCAAACCCCTTCTATTAGGTCGTTGGTTGTAAGTGTGATGTGAGTGATGTGTATTGGCTGAGCCCTGCAGTGTACATGAACATTGTACCACCAGTGGTATTGGCATGGGGTACCGGTGGTAACTACTAGCTAGCTACCGTAGTAGAGCCATCTTCGCAGGTTCTCCTTGTTCAAGGTTTGTCCATTTTTTTGCATAGCTTCGCCGATTTCGATTACTTAGGCAGAGTCGGCCGTTCATGTGGCCAGGAATGCTCGACTGTGTTTAGAAAACTTTGGCCAGTGCTAAATACACTGTTTTGTGTGTGCAAAAGAGAACTTGATGCCACTTTTTGCTTTCTGTGAAACCAAACGCCAAGCTTCCGACCATGACGACTGAATGAGCCATCAATCCATTGATCCACATAGACCCACACGACAAATTGACCTGTGAAGGGGCGAAACAAAGAGACGTGAGTGGTCTCCCTCGCCAGTGGGCGGAGATTATCACAAAGTCGCCATGAGAAAGAGGAGCAAGACCGTCGATTTGCGCACAGCGGCACCTTGCCATGATGCCAAAGCAGTTGGGGACGATTCCAATTCCGAAACTCAGGCTGAAAGTGACACCGAGGAGTCACATGAAGTTTTGAGTAACCGAAGGCGGATAAGTGTTATCGAACTGTGGAGACGACGAGAGCGCAAGAGCCTAGGCCAGCAACAAGCGTCGGATATCCCAACGGTTCAAGGTAGCAGAAGTTTTCCAAACGAAAAATCGTGGCTACAATCGTCGACAAAGATCAATCAAGCAATATCGGAGGAGTTAAAAGCTCCTGCTGTTCACCTACTTTCGGAATCAAGCGCTGAGGAGAAAGATAACAGCACCCCGGCAGCAACAAAAGATGCCACAGTGGCACCATCTATGAATAGGCGAAATGTACATACTGGGTCTACTCGTGGGATTCACCGAAGTCCCAAGCAAGAGGCAATGCAGCCCCTCGATCTTTTGGCAAGACGGCGGGTCGACGTGGCGCCTCTCGAGATTCCATTGGAAAGACGAGATACCGACGGGCCCGAGCTGGCTACCATTGACGTTGAAAGTCCAAAGCAGAGCCCAAAGCAAACGATCTCGATCCCATCCCCTCTGACAAAAAAGAAGCAATATGCCCTGAGAAGACGTGCGGATATTCTTGACATGTGGACACAGAGCGAAAGAGGAAACGTTTCGCCGTCCCCCCCTGGAATCAGGAGATCTCCAGCATCGGTTGCATCCGTCTTCTTTGATACGGAGACCGGAGAATCGCCCAAGTCAAAGGATATTGAGAAAGGCATCGGTCACACACCGCATACTAAAGAGCCATCTGATCGACCTTGTCAGATTCAGCCTCAGTCTCGGCGGTCTCTTTCGGTTCTGGATCGTTGGAAGAAAGGAATGATTCATACTGATGATTTTTCCGTCTCGCCGGACCGTCCTCCATCAAGCCATGAGCAGGAAAAGAGCGCAAACCTACAAGATAAACCAATGGACGCTCGAACAGACGAAACAAACGAGGCTGTTGCTTCGCAAGTCGACGCTCGTCAAAAGGTGGAATCGGCCGCGAACGAGGCCAAATCGGTTGTAATCAAGTCCTCACCCAACAGCAGCCCACGCCACTTGATCCCTTGCAGCAGATATCAGCTTCCCCATCGTCCCGAAAGAGCTTCAAGGACCAAGGATTGGCTTGCCCCGCATATAGCAGCTCATAGCGAGAGCGCAAAGCAATCGGATCAGGAAAAGGTACCTAGAACAGGACAACCCGAGCAAGATGGAGCAAGCGATGTTGATACTGTTAAGATCTCAGGTTCTTCTCTGAGCATGAGAGCGAGAAAAGCATGGGATACTCGACAGCGGAGTCACTACGTTGATGTGGCCCAGAGCGCAGAATCTAGAAGCGGGGAGAGATTCAGCGCCCAGAGTCGAGTACAGATCTCGTCCTCCGGTGATCATTGTGAAGCAGAGAACTCATCAATCGAATCGACATCACACAAAGTAGTCTGCTACCCCGAAAACGCGGAAGGAATCAACGGCGAATCGGAGATCAATGATCAGCAAAGTAGAAGAGCCTATGTTTCTCCCGTGAGAAAAAACCTGGAAAAGTCATTCGCATCCGTTATGAACACGGAGCCAAGCTCTCAGGGTGATGAAAAATCTTTGGTCGCCACTGGTTCCAACACAGATCGGCGCACCTATGGGCCCAAGTTCGCTCATTTAATCACCGAACCATCTCCAGTTTCGAAGCTGTCGAGTCCTGTGGATTCCAGCAAGCTAAGGGCCCGTAGTGTCGTTGCAAGATGGACAAACAGAAGCAGCAACTCTGTTTCAAACAGTTCCAAGGGCAGCCAAGCATCTTCAGTTGCTTCTGAAGAGGACGACGAGGTTTCGCAGGTAGAGGCAAACGCTCAGGAGCCGGCGATAGAACCAGAAGACTTTTCGACTGGCGCACCGAGCGAAGTCTGTTTGCCTCAAGGCCAGGCGAGCACAAAAGTGCAACCGAACAGCGACAGAGAAGAGAATGAGCGTTTCACTGTGGTTGCATCTGGAAGTTTGCGTGAGGATGAAGTTCTTGATGACGCAAGGACTTCAGTCTCAGATATAGAACTACGCCCTTACGATGAGAAGGCTCAAGATCGGAGACACAAGGCAATATACTATGAAAAGTTCCAATCTTTGCGATCTTGTTCGAGCGCTCCGACTGAAGGTTACAAATATACGACCGACAATGCTTCCTATGGCCAAGGTCTGCCGTCATCAATGGTAGAACAAGGGGGGGACACGTTGAGACTTGACTTTTCTCAGGAAACAGTATTGTCCTCTCGATCGGACTTGTCCACGCCAACAGCAGATTCTATGCCACAACTGACTCTATCAGACTCGTGGAGTACGCAACCCAATGGCCGCCAGTCGGCTCAGGCATCTATTGGATCTGGGTCTGGGTCTGCGTCAAATCGATTGGAGGTGTCCACGAAGGCTGCTTTTTATGCATCTGAAGCAGTGAAGCTAGGCTTGGGAACAACCCCTCAGAATTTTCCTACGGGCTCCAACCGAAGTGTTCCTCGTACTGAATATGAGAAGCCATCCAACCACCATGAGAAAGGCTTGGGTGTGAACTCACGCCACGTCCATTTGAGTTCTGGGACTCGAACTAGCAAGCCGAATGAGGTCCATTCTTCTACTTCTCGTCAGGCTGAAGATGAAAGGGGGCCCACTACCCCAGAATCAGCCTCAGATTCCAATCCTCAACAAATTACCGTAGATGCAAGCTTTGAATACTTGAAAACGAACACTGCTCAAGACGTAGCTATGAGTGCTGGAAGTCAAACCATCACAAACCCAAAAGACATTCAATTTGATTCCTCTCCTTGGGTTGAACACGAGACGCAGCAAGAGTTAGGCAAGAACCCTCCAAATTTTGCGATGACGGCTAGCAGTAATGCCGAGACAAGCTACAACCAGTTTGAAGCTCCGTTGGTGGAGATGCTCGCCACTCAGGAGTCTCTCGAAAGCCTGCCTGAGGTAATCCTCACCGAAGAGGAATCAACCCATGAACCCATTGAAAAGCTGCAGATGAGGCTCGCGACGCAGGAGTCTTCCGAAAGCCTTCCAAAGATACCCATCAGCGAGCAGCGTAGTGAAAGCCCACCCATGATTTTGCTTTCCCAAGAGCCTATCGACTGCCAATCCAAGGTGCAGATCACCCAAGAGAACAGCGATAGCTTGTCTCAAGTAATCACAGCTCAGGAACCCAGCGGAGCCGTACCCAAGGTGCCCGTGACCTTAGAACCTAACAGGGGAAACACACCGAAGGTACTTGTCGCTCTCGAGACAACCCAAGCCATGCCCAAAGCGCTCGTCGCCCAGCAGTTTGTCGAAGCCACACCAAAGATGGTGTCTAACACCAGTTTTGAGCTCGCACCGAAGCTCTTCGTTATTCCAGAGCAAACATATGATTCCGACAGCTCGCTAAAGGAAATTGCCGCAGAAAACCCAATCGAATCCCACAGGGTACAAGGAAAAGTCTCTCCGAGTCTCTCTTCTGATTCCCAAACTCACGTTGCTGACAACATCAAAGGGGATTGCGAATTCAGGACAAGACTTGACTCCCCGGGCCCAAGCTATCCGCAGTCGTCCATTTCCTGCCCTACGATAGAGCGAAACGAAGAAATGACGGGGTCCCCAGAGGTCAATAATGTTAATCCTCTCGTGGCCAGTGTCGCTGTTGGCCTTGCTGCGATGAACAGCACCACTACGGAAAGAGATACTCTCGTCCGTAGCGCCGAAGCTTTCGAAGCCAATGAAACCTTAGAAAGAATCTTGGCGGACGAAGACAATTCGGACGCAGAAGCTGTCCTTAGCGTCGGAACTGTCGAAGCCCAGGCAACTTTGGAAAGAATCTTGGCGGACGACGAGAAAACGGCAACTTCAGAAACGGTTGTCACGACGGAAAGCCAAACGAACGGTACTGGTGTCAACGAAGACAATCCAAGCGACGAAGCAAATGTCCCGCACGGAGACAATGTGGCGGAGACACCGGACGTGGCTCACGAAGAGCAGACGACCTTGGCGGCAGGTGTTACCCACGAAGGCAAGGCAACAACTGGCGACCCAAGGGTGACCAAAGGTGTCATTGATAACTCGCGACCATTCTCTGTCGCTGCTGCCTACGCCGAGAAGAAGAAAGCTGACTCGACGACGAACATGGCTACCGGTAGGAAAACGCATGCAGAGAGGATGAAGTCATATGTAAAAAGGAGACTGGGAAAAGAGCCAACACCGAGTGAGAAGCCGCCCTCCGAGCGTCGACGAAACCAGCGGCAGTCCTATTTCCTGAAAAGGAGCAAGCTGCGAGCCCAGCGACGCAAACTGGACAGCCCGAATTTATCGCAACAAACAACAAAACCCGGTTCGCCAGGAAAACCCCCTTCAGATACGGTGGACCAGTGCAACAAAGACACCGAGGCGACCAATGGGACCAATGGGTCCAATGAGTGTCGACCAAAGAAGAAATGCAACATCATACAAACCGGATCGGAGTCAGCTACATCAGTGCGTAACCAAGACGCCTCTCACAAGGCAGAAACGAGCTGTCATGAACAAGCAACGTCTGAATCGGGCCACTCGGATACTCTCTCTTTCTTTAGTCATGCTGGTTCGGCATTTTCGGGTTTTACTGCGCCGTCATCTATCGCACAATCCGCCTTCACTCCGGCCCACCAACGTTTGATTGAACAAGCACAAGACCTTACCAAGAGAGTACTGTCGAAGTCGGAGGACACCCAAAAAGAGACCCCAACGGTGACCAAGACATCCTCTGTCCAGTGGAACGACGCCACAGATGAGAGCAGCGAGGCCCAAAGGAACGAGTGTAGCGGTCTGGCGAGCAGATACAACACATCTTCTCGGTTCCTCGACGTGGATTCCCATGCAACCTGCAGCTTCGCGGCAGACAACTCAACAGCGAGTTCTGCTATCATGTCGTCTCATGCGAACTCTACCTATTGCTCTGAAGCAAGTCGTTCCTTCGACTCCGCAGCAAGCGGCAGCGAGATGTACACTTCTGTGGATGACGCAAACCGCAAAGAGGAGCCCTCGAAGTCTGGAGTCTTACAAGAAGAGATTTCGGAAGCCTTTCAGAATGCTTATCAATCCTTCGACATGAAAAAGCTATCAGACAACGTCAGCGGATCTGTGATTGGTATTGATTTGCACGCTATTACAACAGGATTGAATTCTGCCTCCGAGTCGCTGAGGAAGCTCGTTGATACCGGCGCAAACGCGAAATGCTCGAAATGTAGACCCGACTCGATATGTCAAGGAGAGACCACAGAATCGAATCCAACGAAGCCGACAGTGAAAGGGAGCAAGGGCACGGACGCCACACTCGACGAAGGAATTGCAATTGAAGTCGAGTACGTATCGGACTCAGACGACACTCAGACCGAAATGGGCCACGAAGAAGAGATCAGCGAGGCATTCAGTCTTTCCCAGTCTCCTTCGGGTGATAGCAGCCTTGTGTATTTGGGTCAGTTCAAGCTGGGAGCTAAAGTATAATCAGTGATATTAGCGACAACGTATAACTCAACATCCCTTCGAGCTAATCATTCGTCAACATCTTGAATGACAATGGATCACCCAGCTAGCCGCATTGCATTCAAAGTCCTTCTAGGCAGAGGACGGGTAAAGCTGCTCTATCACGATTAATTCCGATTTGTCGAGGTGACATGCATGAACCTATCTGGCATGCGGACTCAGGCAATTTACTTTGGCAATTTCGTTGTCAAGAATTCAATCATTTCTCTCTCGGCCCCGCCAACAACAGCACAATCCATAACGTTATGACCGTCATTATCCAAGGCACCAAGTTTAGCCCCTTTTCCCAGGAGTAGTTCGACACACCCAAGGGCGTTCCATGTGGTGCCATCCTCTGGCCGCATCCCCAGCACACAGGCATGAATGCAACTCTTCCCGCCATCTTTGGCGTTTTTCCAGTCGACGCTAGCACCACGTGCAAGTGCCTCCGCCATTCCATCAATGTTGCTGCTCTTTGCTGCTTCATACAGCTCCAGCCCGAGTCTGTCCCTCTTCTCAGTCTCCGGCAGCTTCGTCCACAAATACTCAACCATATCCTTCTCCGCGCCATTGTCGTTGGCGTAATCCAGGATGTGGGAACTGCCTCCCTCTCCGACTTCCATTTTTGCTCCGTGTTGAAGCAACAGCTCGGCACATTCAATGGCTTTGCAGTCGCCAGCGTCACTTTTCATGTCCATTACGATCACCTGAAGTGCAGCTTTGTTGTCGTCTTCCGTATTGACCCAATCAACATTCGCACCAAATGCTATTGCCTCTGACATGCCAAGAACATTGCGTTCCTTTGCGGCATCATAGAGAGCTCGACTGAAATGCTCATTACGTTCCGCTTCCGTCTTTCCGTCCGATTCGTTGTAGGCAAGGAATCCTTTCCACATGTATTTGCTCTTGATGTAGCCTTCCCTCGTCTTCCGATCAGCGCTGGAATCGGGCTTCTTCCATCCTTTTTGGAGAGACAAACCTTTCTCCCATATTGCATTCGCCTTCTCATTGCCCATGGAAAGTAGAAGGCGACTTTCACCGTCGGTCAATGAATCCAGCGTAAGTGACCGCACCTTGGTTTACGAGGAAATCCGAAGATTCGTGAGGACGCGAAAGGACCACGATCAGTCGGCATATCATTCTCCCTTACCTTGCTAACGTGGACCCCCAGTGATCGGTGAATGCCGCTGCATTGTATACAAAGCAAAACTCCCAGATTCAGTGACGCCCAGTCGGGTGCTCGTGTGTTGCAATCCGCACATATTGGATTCGTGTCCATAATCTTCTGAACGAGAGGGTTCTTGGGCTTTTTGGAACTTTCAGCTGATGCATGGGCAGGAAGCCTCTTGGCGGAATCATCTCTAGAATCACGTGCAGAGAAGTCGTTGCTGTCTCTAGATGTATTGTCGCTGAGGCCTGGTGGCAGCTGGGACTCCTTCGAAGCAGTGCCATTGCTGGACTCTCGGATTACATTCTTCTTTCCAATGTTTTTGTTCAGCTGATCCGAATGGGGATCTCCATAAACCAACTGATTTTCAACGTTGGCACGAATGGCATCAATCCATCTTTTGAACTCAAGGGGTCCTCTTGCTTGCAAGGCAAGTGGTTTATGGTTGGGTGTGATCACTTCAAAACAGAAGCGATTGTTTCCATCATCAGGAAGCTCACGGATGGTACAAAGCACAATGTCACATACTTTCACGCGTTGCGATGTGTGCATACATTCCTTGTCGTCACCACTGGCATTTTTCCGAATTTCCGAGCTGGTGCGATAGTAGTAGATTGCGTCTTTGTTCATCATGAACCACCGCCTGTGCCACGGTTGCAAGGACATACGAGCAGTGCTTTTTTTGTACAGCCAGCCTTCCACCAAGATGCCATCAGGTGATTCCCGGCGATATCTAGATGTTTTCGCGAGCACTTCTGGCAGCTCCCAGATTTTCGTTTGCTCTTCAATTTTACCCAACGCCAGTGCCTGTTGATCTATCAGTGCGGGGTCACCGCTAGCCACTGCTGCTGACACGAACGAAGCATCCGCCAAGCCCTCGTGCATCTTATCAATGGTTTTGATGATGGTATTTTCTCGTTCGTTCCAGACAGGCATGATCTTTTTTTCGTGATTGATTTTCATTTCGTTTTCCGCCGTTTGAATTTTCATCATTCGTGGACCCAGAGCCTGCCAATTTGGTGATCATTCGTTGTGCCAAACAAACAAATTTCGCAACTGTCAGAGAGGACGACACCAACCACGGCACCACGGCCACACAAATGCATCGTCTTAAGAACCTACCTGAACCACATCGAATGACTGATGGAAACAAGTTCGCATGCCATGAAGAGATGCCAGAGCTCCCTCGCACAGTTCAAAGTTTCGACGATGCTTGATGCCCACGAGATGTTTGAGTAATTGGAATCGTTTCAGCTCGGCCGTGGCCTGTCCCAACCTAATCTGTTCCAGAGTGAGTCGCAGATTGGCAGCTGTCGTGGCCATGGCCAAGGAGGAGTCCTCTGGATTGTTGGAGGAACTCCGACCGCCATCCGCCGTTCGTCTGGTGTCGCCTTTTCTTCCCTGCTCTTGTCCTTTGTTTCTCCAGTTCTTAAACTTGGACGAGAGCATGGAGGAAGACGATGGTTTTTTTGGGTCATGTGACATCATGGCGGAAGCTGGGTTGTCGTCGAGACCAAAAAGGCCTAGGGTTCCCGCAGCGTTTTTTCCGTTCAGATACCGAAAGAAAATATTTTCAGATGATTCTGTGCTTTGCTCTGCCTCTTGTTTGAGCATACTGACCGTCATGAGTTCTGTCCCTGCGAATGCTTCCAAAGACATACCCAGGGTCGAATCAAAGACGTTGACCATATTCATTTGAGCGGCAGCAATTTCTTCCAGGACCTAGTAAAAAACCAACCAAAGAATAGAGAATCAGCAACGCAACCATTGTTGCATCCAACTTCTCAGATCTTGACCCGATAAATTGACTGCCAAGAGCATATATTATACCCATAGCAGTATCCAAGTACACCACAGAACCAAATTTTAACTCACCTCGCCTAAGAGTTCCAAAAGATCGGCCATTTCATACCCAAGTGCTCTGCGCCTTTCCTTGCGTAGCTTTGCTTCCTGCTCCACTTTTTCTTCTTCTGTCATGTCTTCTGACAAGTCATTATCGCGTTTCAGACGACAGGAATAGGCCAATCGACGAGTGGATTCGGCCATTAAAGCTCCACACTTGGAGAAAGTCTTGGTTCTGGCCGAGATATCTTGCAAGGACTCCACGAGAATTGACAGCGATTTGGTGTCATTCTCCACAAAGGCACTGAAATAAGGCGAGTCTGCCAGGAAACTATTATGGGGTGACCAGTCGTTGCTGTCATTTCCCTCCTTTCCAAGCAGCGGGTCATCAATATCATCAATAATATTACCAGGATCAGAAGCAACCTCCTCTGTCACTGTTTCCACCTTGTCGGATCCGCTCCCTTCCAGGGGATCGAAGAACTCGTCCGCTTCCGCACTTTCGGGGTTTTCCGTTGCCATCCTTCAATAATATATATTTAAAGCAGGTATTTGTTGCACTCCTTTGTGTGATACCAAAAGGCTAGCTCTTTGGTTTTGGGCAAAGAAGAAAGGGTGTCAAGTCCAGCAATCGATTGAGGCTCTGAAGCAACTAAAGCCGACACCTGGTGGTGGTAACAACACAGCTTTCCTCTTGACGGACCACAAAAAGAATGATTGCTCGATCGCTGATGGAGGCTGGATGGTTGCGATGTTGCGATCAAAAGCAAGATCCGTGGTGACTGTACAATATCTTATAAATAAAATATCATATCATTGTTTGAATACTGTATTGTAGACTCTAGCTAGTTGGTTTTCAACCTTCACTATTTGTCAATTATGAGCTCAGATTCTGAGCTTTCCTATTCTAATCTTGCGTAATTCCTGCTGACCAGGTCATGCGCTAAAACATAAATACGAATACCAGGTACGATATGGGATAGATACGAATACCAGGTACGATGTGGGAGTAGGACCCAGTCACAGTTTGCACTGCTCATGCAGAACAGTTTCACAACACTCCTTCTCAAACAAAGACTGACTTCAGGGCCTTACCACCCCATCAACATCTTTCTCAATACTTGGAATTGGCCAACAGCCAATCCCTTGGTGAACTGATCCGCCAACTGCTTCTTGGTCTCCACATGGACAGCAACAATTCCATTGCCATTCTTGTCCAGGCCAATCTTGCTGCGGAACCAGTGATATTTCAGAGCCAAGTACTTGTTCTTGGTGGACACCTTTGGGACATTGATCAAGGATAGGCAGCTTGTGTTGTCTTCAAATACTGTAGACTTCATTTCACTAACCTTCTTGACCTCAGTGCCCAATGCATCACCAATCTCAGCCATTAGCTCCCTCAAAGGCAAAAGTTCCCTCATTGCAGTGCTGAAAGCAACATACTCACTAGCAGTGCTGCTGAGGGTAATCTCAGTTTGCAACTTGGATGCCCACACCAAAGGACAATTGAACATGGTAATCACATATCCAGTGCGAGACTTCACACATACAGGATCTTGATCATCCTCATGTCCCCATAGCCCAGCAAAGTCAGCATCAACCCAACAGTCCAATCCTTTGGAGGTATCAGGTTTCAAGATCAGACCTTTTCACTGGTGCCTTGAGGTACCGAGCAATTCTCTTAATTGCAACTGCATGGGAATTCTTGGGATTGTGGGTGAACCTTGCACATTGATGGACAGCAAACTGGATATCAGGACGTGTGTTGGAGGACAGGTACAAGAGCATGCCCACAGCAGATGCATAACTCCAACTCTCTTGGAATTGCTTTCCAAACTTGTCAGTTCCAAGAGGCTCAATATTGGCAGGTGTGTCCTTGGATGAACATTCATTCATATCAACATACTTCAAGAATTTCTGAGTGAGACCAGACTGTGTCATCACAATGGTATCATCCCCAGGCTTCTTGTCAATGTTAATACCAAGGTAAGAGTAAACATTGGCATCATCAGATTTCTCCTCTTCCAGGGAATATCCATCAGAGCGCAGTTTCTCTACCATAGCATTGATCTTGTTCAGGTCCTTGCCAATCATGAATTGGTCATCAACATACGTGACTGCAATCATGTCCTTGTGGATGAAGAGACATGGGTCATGCTTACTGGCAACAAATCCATTGTCAGTCAGTCCCTTTTCAAGGTGCTTAAAAAATAATCTAGGAGCGTCCTTTTGCCCATAGAGAGATTTCCTTAGGTGCAACACCAAGTCTTCATCTTCTCTACCATTCACAGTGTAGTGTGCAGGCAACTCAATGTAGACATCATTCTCCTGAGCAGCTTGACAGAATGCATTGGTGTAGTCATACTGCTTGGTGTGTAGATTCAATGTAGCTGACATGATCAAGCAAGCTCTCACTGTTGGCCATCCAACCACAGGGGCATATGTATCAAACACATCTACACCCTCCTTCTGACGAAAGCCTTGGACACAAAAGCGAGCCTTGAACTTGTTCAGTCGACCATCTGGGAACCTCTTGATTTTGAATGCCCAAGTTCCAGGAATGATGTTGGAACTCTTAGGCAACTTAGCACGGGGTACAACATCCCAAACTTGCATCTTCTCCAATGAATCAATTTCCTTGTCCATTGCTTGCTTAAACTTGTCAGAGTGAGGTCCAGTCAAAGCATCAAAGATAGAAGGGTTGTCCTCATCATACTTTTTCTTCTTAGCAGCCAAAGCCTGTGGAAACAACATGGCCATAGGATGTGCAGCCTCCAAGTAACCTTGCTCCATATCAGTGTACAGGGAACAGAAGTACATCAAATCCTTTACTTGGGAATCAGCACCATTTCCTTGCATCATCAATAGAAAGCCCACAGCTCTGGCATATGCACCAGTCTTTGGTTCCCACTTGCCACTGGTAGGATTCAATTCACGTGCTGGTCTTTTCACACGCATCCCACGACCCAAAGCAGGTTCAGATGGTCTTTCACTAGTGGACTGATCAGCTGAGTCATCACCAGTCAGATCAATAACAATAGCAGCATCCTCCTTCTCAAAAAGTCGCTCAGTGGTAGTGTCAGATTCCAATTTCACAACATTGTTCACTCCCTCCAATTGGGCAGACCGCTCCCTCTGACGGCCAGACATCATGTCTTTCTCTTCCTGTTTCAGGTTGGGATCCACATCTTGCCAAAGTGGGCGGCCTTGATGTGGGGTTGGCTGTCTTCTAGTGGTGGCCCATTCTTCACTCAATTGAGGAGCAGTTGCTTTTGGGTTGTTGTCATCAACCAGCTCAACTTCCAATCTGTCATAAATGCACATGTCACTCCAATCAGGAGGCTTCTGATTGGAGGGTGACTGGACTGTCTCAAACCAATTGTCAAATACAACATGAAACTGTGGGGAGATTGAACCTGTCTGCAGGTTGCGAATCAAGGCAACAGAATCAGCATGGTTAGGTGACATTCCCAAGTACTGTCCCTTCCGTGTACGAGGATCCCACTTCGGAATCTTCTTGCCATCCTGGAGGCGTGGGTCCAAAACATATGCAGGACAGCCCCAAGGATGTAGGTTGTGGAGTACAGATGAGCTATCAATGGATTTTGAGTAGAGTTCAGCTGGAGAGATACCAGTTTCTTTGTCTGGAGTGTGATTGTGGATGAAGGCTGCATGACTCACAGCCGAAGGCCAAAGGTTCTTGCTGTATGCTTGAGGCCAATGAAGGGAAGTGCACTACACTAAAAGCTAGTGTAAAGATCTTTCGAGTGTTTTGAGTTTGAGAGAATGAAAGTTATGAGAGGATTAGAAGCTATGAAAACCTAATCAACGAGAGATAGATCCACAATCAAAAGGATCGTAGATCTGAACTCCCGCGGGAGACTGTAGAGTAGGGATGGAGTAGGTTGCGGTAGCAATCCTACCCACTCCACGATCCCAAAAACGGAACGCGTGGAAGATTCCTCTAGCATTTATCTAGTAGGGTGGAAGTACTCCACGCTGTCTTAATATCTAGAGCGATGTTCATCATCAACCTAGTATGACTAGATGCGGTCTAATTGAAACCTGTTTCAATGACTATCACGAGAGAGGACTTGCAGTCATTTGAACGTCGAACTTCAAACCCCTATCTAGGATCGAGAGTCGCGAATCAAGCTAAGAGCCGTGTATTGCATTCGCCCCCTCTGACCAAGGGTCCAAGGGAAGCACTGACATCATTGGTCGGTTAGCGAATGGAGAAACATAATGAATTAAAGTGCGGGGCTCTCTCCGGAGATTTGATGTAGTCATGTGCGTCGCACGATTTCAATCCTACAAGGGGATACAGCCTTGTATGGGTGTAATTACCTTATGTTCCAAGTCTTGTATACTGTGCCGCCATTGGCGTTATCATGTCGGAGCCGTATGGTGCTATTGTTATTGACTCTGTTTGTGTGGTAAGGACCTTTGGCTGACTGTACTAACGGTTCTGATACTGATGAATATTCATAGTATCGTTGACATGTTGTTGATTAGGGACACGTGCCGTTTTTTCCTTATCGGTGTTTTTCTCGATAAGTCGTTGGCGACGATCCTTAATGTACTTATCGGCTTTGCTTTGGCAACGGTTGTGGGCTGAATCTTTTGTCCGATTGACTCGGCGCAGATGAACTTGCGACGATGTCCATATTCGTCCCGGAGTGTCTTCTCGATCTCTGCGCGGGAATCACGTTCTCTTTCCATGATAACCTCAGCCGCTCATGGATACTGGGTAACCCACGTCTGTTTCATAACGATGGTTACTCCTTCTTCTGTCTTGGAGCAGCCCTGTGTAGTTCATTGGTCCAATGAAATCCACGAAGTTCATTCCAGTTGGTAGGAAGAGCGATACATCTAAGAAGCGCAATTGTAGGTAGTTCTGAAAACGAGACCTCAGGTCTCCTTTGGGAAGCACATCCCAAACTCTCCTTCCGAACCAAGACCAAGGTTCCACATTAGGCAACCGGGGCTCCAGGTTGGGAAGTGACGTACTTTACAATCTACTACTGCAGGGGAAACAACTTCAGTCGTGGTATGTTACCCTTTGTGCCCATTGGTGTATCCAACCGTTAAGTCATTGTCTACTAAAAAGAAGTCACATCGCCATCCGTTTTGGATGGTCAGAACATGAAGAATGCATTCCAACAACAATAGATCCTGCACAGAGGGCTATTAATCGCAGAGGCGTTACCTACCAAAATGGGACCTGCAGGTGGCCAAGTTTCAACTAAAACCAGCTAAAACGAGATAAGACAGGATAAGAGTGGGAATATCAAAATGCTAGATTGTTAACGCTAATCCAAATAGGGCAGTACTGAGTCACCAAAAAAGAGGATCACCGTAAAAGATCCTCATGGTGAAGGGGTGAAAAGGGTGAAAAAGGCTACCAGATGGGCAACCACCACCGACCAAATTAACAAAATCAGCAAAAGGAAAGGGAGGCAATGGTACCGAAAAAGCACCGGAAGGCTTCCGAACAGAGAGAACTGGGCAACAATTTCTCACAAAAGCCCTGCAAAAAGCACCAAGGGGAATCAAAAGGCGGCAAGGGCTTCCCATTCAATGGGGCCTTGGCTGCCAATTGACAACCTGGAAGGACCCTAGTCACAGTCCACCAGATCATCGTAGGAACGCTTGCCCTTTTCTTCTTCTTGTTCACGGCATCCGGATCGGCTGGTGGTCTTCCTTTCCAAATATTGCAACATCCATTTCAGCATTTGTTGTTCTGCATCTTGGCATTGGGCTTGGCACGGGCATCCTGAACCTAAGCTTGAGGCATTGTAGCGCCTCGGCCTGCATTGGACCAACTCCATACTTGGCATTGCCCACCTTGGAGTTTGATACTTGTAGCAA